CCTGAGCGTCTATCATACATTTAGCAACTGAGATTTACACTGGGAGAGAGAGAAAGTGGGAATCAAAGGAACAAGTCAATGGGGTCGTTGCAAACATCTTGAGTATAAACCTACGACATGCAAGGAACACAAACAACACCAAAGGCCCCTTAACGGGGGACACATGAGCCCTGCAGCGCAACTTCATGGCATACTTTCCCATGCCATGCATTTGCAAGGTGGCAGGCACACTGCGCTCGTCGTGCCTGAGGCCGTGTTACGACAATTGAAGCCAAGATCAATGCTTTTCACCGCCACGGCCTTCGGGGAGTGACTGCATGCTTAATTAAAGATTGAGGGAGGCGTTCTCAATAGAAACAGCATAATTAAAGTGTTTTCAGATGAGTGAAACAGCAGGAATGAACAGTGAAAAGAGCCGAATCTCTCATCCCTCGCTGGACCTGCCTTGGGTCATGAGGTGCAAAAACAGCACCTGTCTTTGATCTCCCAAAACACAAGAGGGTTCATTAACATCTGCTGCGTGGGGGAAGAAAAAACAGACATTTGCGCTTTGCTGTTGTTAATGAAAATGAGGTATTAAGAACCATTATACGTATTTCATCAGTCTGCTCAGTCATTCATGAGATAAAAGGTGTCATGATAGAGAGGAGGGAATTCATATGACCATATCTGTGTGTGCATTTGAAGGAAAAATGATGATTAAAAGATCTGCATTCGAACTGCACATGCAATGATGAATTAAAACATGCAGCGCAACCAGTGCAGTCTAAATGCTGAGCGACTGACTCTTAAGAGTCAGTATTTTTGGATGAATCAACATGCAGCCCAACCAGTGAAGCCCACTGATTCCCGAAGGACTCTTATGAGTTGCTTTTTTTTCCATGCCTGTTTGACAGTGTCGATGTGGCACTGAAACCAGTCTTCTCATTTGTTATTGTGGGACATTAAAGAGCAAATCCAAGCATAAGCAATCATCACACACACCTGTGAGCGATAGCTGAGCATGAACATTGATTAAAGACAGGTTTACTTTAACAGGTGCTGCTGTTGTTCACTTTCAGAAAATCAACTATCCGTGAGGAATGCAGCCGGTTCTCTTATGACTCTCACTTGACTGTTAACCATCCCAATTATTTGGCACCAAACCGACATACTGAATATTTGCTTACTATAAAAGAGCACAGAGTGAAAGTAAACATGTCCCATCATGTTAATCTGTACATTGAGTGACCTGAATCAGTGCCAGACTGTAAAAAAATACATGATCGAAGTTGTAAATGAAACAAAGATTATTGCACTGTTACCAGAAAATACCATTTCACTCTATCTAAATCAAAGTGTCATATATTCAGTGCATTAACAGCCATTTCTTTGTGAAATTAACTAGCAATTTCTGAGTGAAAATTGTATCAAAGTAAATATTTTTCAGTGTATCGGCATAAAAGTTAAAGGAACACTCCACTATTTTTGAAAATAGGCTCATTTTCCAACTCCCCTAGAGTTAAACAGTTTTACCGTTTTCGAATCCATTCAGCCGATCTCCGGGTCTGGCAGTAGCACTTTTAGCAGATCATTGAATCTGATTAGACCATTAGCATTTCGCTTAAAAATGACCAAAGAGTTTCTATATTTTTCCTTCTGCAGTTATATCGTGTACTAAGACCAACGGAAAATGAAAAGTTGCGATTTTCTATGCCAATATGGCTAGGAACTATACTCTCATTCCGGCGTAATAATCAAGGCACTTTGCTGCCATACCATGGGTGCAGCAGGCGCAATGATATTACACAGCGCCTGAAAATAGGCTTATTGGAAGTTACCTAGCTGGGGACTATTTTCAGGTGCTGCGTAATATCATTGCGCCTGCTGCGCCTACCGCTTGCAAATATAGAAACTCTTTGGTCATTTTTGAGCGAGATGCTAACGGTCTAATCAGATTCAATGATCTATGCTAAGCTACAGCTAAAAGTGCTACCGCCAGACCCGGAGATCGGCTGAATGGATTCAAAAATGGTAAAACTCAACTGTTTAACTCTAGGGGAGTTGGAAAATTAGCCTATTTCAAAAATAGTGGAGTGTTCCTTTAAGCCCCTCCATTATAGACGAGAAGTCCTATGTAGTTATTCTATATCCTTTTTCTTGATATTATGAAAGAATACATAAATATGCGTGTGTGTGTGTGTGTGTGTGTGTGTGGTGTGTGTGTGTGTGTGTTGGTAAAAGAGACAATAAGTCTACAGACGGTTAACATGATAAGACATCTAAGACAGGTTACTGTTATATTCAGAGAACAAAACAACACCTAAATAGAACAAACAAGGGAGAAAATCTACCTCTCTCATATGTACTGCAAAGATAAGTGTCATTTTGCACTTGACATTATGCCTAATGGAGATCGGGGTAAATTCTGTTCTTTCATCCCATGTAACAAATAGTGAAACAGTCTCAGGTTTGTGTACACGTGTCGAATTGTAATGCTACAATAGCACCGACTGCTTTCTGATTTTAAAGCATAACGACTGCCTGGAGCTAAAAAGTCCAACAAATCACCTTGCTTTCATTGCCAACACTGTAGGCATAGTGGCTTTAGGGTGCTACCCAAGACCCAAGACCCATCTAATGATATCCAAGCCGAAACGGGAGCGTATGGAGGGCTGTACTTAATATGGGCGATGCCCTGAGAGCTGACGGGAATCTGGGACATGAAAAAAATCAGATGGGTTACAAGCCGGTACACACAAACACATTTACGGTAAACCAGACCCAAATCAGTGAGCCTAACACAGAAGACAACTGTCTGTGACAAAAGCTGTCCTAAATTTGCCTGCCATTGAAGACAGTCTCAGCCTAGAGGGGCATTAGTTGGGGGGGCTTTGTTAGCTCCACTCAGGCGCAGAGATAAGAGGCATCCAGACAGATTAATGTGTGTATGGCACTTTTGGGAAATGGGTCAGTGAGTGTAATTGTGCTGGACAGTGAGTACGGCTCTTATTTGTGCAACTGGAGATGAAGGAGGAAAATTAAGCTAAAGTCACACATCACAACCCTGAGATGGGCTATAAAACTTCAAGAAGCAGGCCTCAAACTAGCATGGAACTAGGATGGAGTACATGTGACTGAAAAAAACAACAACATCAAACTGATGGATGGCCATCAACTAACAATCCTAACTAGATTTTTCTGAAGAAAACTGTTATGTGAAAATGCTATGCAGTTTCAATGTGTTCTCGATGATTTTTAGGAAAGTTTAATATGAAAGATTTTGAAAAACACCCAGGATGGAAGGAATAGAAGTGCAGTCTTTTTAGTATAGCGTTCATCCATGTAGTTGAACATTCAGCCAATGAAATCTTGAAAATTCACTACCATTCAAAGGTTTGGGGTTGGTAAGTTTTTTTTAATGTTTTTGAAAGAAGTCTCTTATGCTCACCAAGGCATGCATGCATTTATTTATTTATTTTTATACAAAATGCAGTAAAAACAGTAATACTGTGAAAAATTATTACCGTTTAAAATAACTGTTATCTATATTAATATATTTTAACATGAAATGTATTCCTGTGATGGCAAATCTGAATGTTCAGCATCATCACTCCAGTCTTCAGTGTCAGAAAAATCATTCTAATATGCTGATTTGATGCTCTCAAGAAACATTTCTTATTATTATCAATGTTCTTATTATACTCAATTAAAAACAGTTTTGTTAATATTTTTCTTAAAACTTTGATACAAGTTTTTCAGGATTCTTTGACCAATAGAAAGTTAAAAATCACTTTTACTTGAAATAGAAATGCTTTGTAAGTCTTTACTGTCACTTTTGATCAATTTAATGCATCCTTGCCTAAAAAAAAAAATAATTTATTTAAAAAATCTTACTTTAAACTTTTGAATGACAGTGTAAGTCTTTCAAAATAAAATAAAATAAAATAATTTCTTTAAAAAAATCTTACTTCAAACCTTTGAATGACAGTGTAAGTCTTTCTAAATAAAATAAAATAAAAGGGTTATGAAAATTACTGTACTGACCACAAAACTGAATTACTGTAGGACCATAAAACAAAATTTTGAACTGACTATACTTTCCATCCCTCACAGGCACACTTTTGTTTGCATCATATTATGGAATATAACTTTGGAACCATGGAGCCCTGAAACAATTTAAGTGGTACATCAAGCATGAATTGCTCCAGTGGTCATTAAATGCATACATTTTTTTTCCTAATTAACTGAGCTAAATGAACATGTTAAATTGACCGCCCTAATTTATGCATTTACTTGTCATGAATGACATGCTGGGAGATCTTCAGATTGAGCTCTAACTACTGAGACTGTTTTCTGGTGTATGACACAGCTGTTCAGTTTTGTATTCACATTCTACCCATCGTGTGATACTATGTGTCAGCTCTTGTTTATGGGGTGTGATTAGCGAGATGAAACTGAGGAGCAGGGGCTATCAGATTACACACACACACACACACACACATTCTGTTTCTCTGCCAGTACAGTAGAAAACACACTTAGTGAGATTATACAAATCTGACTGACAGGAAAATGAGTTTGCACTCGTATACACATGCACACACATACATGCCCACGAGACACACACAGAAAGACTTATTCACTAATACAAAGAAAGAAAGAAAGAAAGCTCTGCACTGATTATATGAAACAATGTTGAATACAGGTTAAGACAAATTAATTCTCAATCTAATGTTTTGCGGTAAACACAATACACACACAGACTCTTGTATACGATCTCTGGGTGGAGAAGGCAAAAACATCAAGTGATGACAAGCACCACAAACAAACGTATCTGTGCATGCTGGGACAGTGTAATTTTTTGATGGAGCAATTAGAGTCCTTTACAAAAATGCGGTTTTGCATATTAGTTTTCATAATGCAGATGATGGGAACTTCAAATGTTTTGGCCTAGTTCCTTATTTAACTTGTGCTCAATTGTTCATTATAGTTTCTATGTTATTTTCTATGTTAATGCTTACTTTGGCAGGTGGGAATATCACAGTATTTCCAGTAGATCCCATCCTCGAGATCTGCGATATAACACCATGGCCGAACATCTCCATCTGGGTTCCTGTGGAAGAAAGACAGACTGTTAAAATCACTGCGACTTTGAAACCACACACTATTTGAGCTAAAGTAGTTCAACAACATTTATTTTCCCAATTTAAAAAAAAAAAGTAGTTTGTTACAATAGAGGCCACTAACAAACTTTATTGTGGCGATTTTAAGTGACTCTTTCTGAATGTTACATCGCTACAGCAGTAGGTGGCGACAAATGACTTGTATTTATGGATGAATCACTGAATCAAGTGTTCAAAAATAATTATTCATACAGGAACTATTGTTCATGGGATGTTTAAATATTTACAGTATGCTTAAGAGGCATAATCTTTTTATATTACATAATTATCAGATTGTATAACTTACCTGTATCTAACTGGCAAACACACAACTATCTTGTAATTTAGTGTGAAAACAAACATTATTATATTACCGCACATAACTTCCATTCAACAGTAAAGTAAACAACCTTTTCTATATAGAGTGACAAGCCGTGCAACTCACTAATGATTCAAATGAATCACTGACTTGTTTATAATCCAGATTAAAGTAATTAACATTAAACTGATCTCTCTGAACGAGCCAAAAGGATTCAAACTATTACACTATCTGATATATTATATAATATAATGCAATATACTGTGACATTAAAATAGCAATGTAAACTAACATTTAAATGTTTTTGAAAGAAGTCTCTTATCCTCACCAAGGCTGCATTTATTTGATTTAAAATACAATAAAATCAGTAATACTGTGAAATATTGTTACAATTTTAAATCACTGTCTTCTATGGTAATGCATTTCAAAATGTAATTTATTCAAAGCTGAATTTTCAGCACCATTACTTCAGTCTTCAATGCCACAGAAATCGTTCTAATATGCTGATCTGCTGCTCAAGAAACATTTCTGATTATTATCAATGTTACAAACAGTTGTGATGCTTTATATGTTTGTGGAAACTGTGCTACATTGTTTCCTTTGTTCTTTGATGAATTGAGCATTCAGAAGAGCAGCATTTATTTGAAATTATAGCCTATATTTTTGTAACATTATAAATGACCTTACTGTCAATTTTGATCAGTTTAATTAATCCTTGCTGAATACAAATATTCATTATAAAACTGATAGTTCCGGTCCTTGATTCTGATTGGTTGAGCCAAGTTCGAAGCTGTTGTAAATTAAAGCAATAAGCCCCAAGAAGCCGTGGTTTACAGTGAATTTATAACAGCTTCGCGTCGTGCCTAACAACGCCCCTTAGCTGTTACAAATTCACTGTAAACCACGGCTTCTTGGGGCTTATTGCTTTATTTTCTCACCAAACTTTTGAACAGGAGTGCAGCTTCTAGCTTCTTGTGAAAAAGTAGCTACACTTCTATAAAAAAAATAGTTGAAAGATTGTCACGCTACTGAAAAAATGTCAAGTTTGTAGAGTCGCTGCTTTTGGTCAGTTACTGCAGATAATTTAGTTCAAGCGTAGCTGTCACTAAAGAGGAAAGCCTTTTAAAGGGTTGTCAGTCAGACAGAAACACCCCCTACAGCGGGAACCTATGAGCTTTATTAAGTCTCTTTCTCTCCCTGCCCTGTCCATTAAAGCATGTCCACCTCCAGGTCGGCGTCTACGCGAATGCCCAGGGAAGGCCTTTGTTCCTTTCCAGACAGTAACCTGCGGAGTTCTCCGGCTTTGTCTGCTTCAAAACCCCTTTAAGCTCTCCGGTGTGTACTTTAAACTCTGATGCCCAAACTCCAAAAAGCCTTCAAATAGGGTATTGATTACAAGCGCACAGCCAGACGAGGCAGTGATTGGTTGAGTACTTCGTGAACCGAACATTCAACATAAAAAGTCTGAGCGAATCCCGCTTCGGGAGCCCACGCCGTCAGAAACAACGATAATTGCGAGAAAAGCTATTCTTCTAGTCTTTTAGGAGTCACAATGCAACATCTCGAGCTCGACCCTGAGGCGACAGCTATCTGATTTCAGCATTGTGAGGAAGAATCAAAAGGGCGTGCCACGGTCCTTTCTTCTCTATCAAAAACACTTTCCAGCTTCTCTTCTTCTCTCTTTACAACAAGCAAGTGCATTGAGTGAAGCGTCTTTTCATGTGCTTTCTTTTTTGTGTCCGGAGAAACTTAACCTCAGGTTGGAGTCAGCTAAACATCTCCCATTTTCCCTCCTTTTTTGTCTTTTCTGTTCAGGAGAATGAGATCTGGCCTGCTAACAAACCAGTCTGGATTTGGAGCCGAGTGTGTATTTCGACTGTCAAGATCGACAACCCCCTCCAGCCTGATGGGATTTTCATTATGACTCAGTCAAATATAATGGCTACTTTGCATAGCTTTTTTTGAATAATGTATTCTCCTGTTCAGGAAAGACACCTGTTTGGAGTTGAAGTCTTCAGGGCAATTGAGGTTCAATGGAGGAGATTCGATTATAAGAGGAATCTGTCTTGTTGGCAGACACATATAAACATAATCATACATCGTGCCAGGTTTCTATATGGCTTTATTTGATCCAGGCTGCCTCTGGGGTCATACAGCGAGCACTTAATGGAACAGTTCACCCCAAAAAATGAACATTTTCTCCTCATTTACGCACCCTCATAACTTTCTATCTTTTGAGGAACTCAAAAGTTTTGAAGAATGGCTTTGGACACTTTTTAATGAAAGTGAATGAGATCCAAAATTATATATTATATATATATTGTATGATATATATATATATATATATATATATATATATTTATATTTATATTTATATATTAGTGCTGTCAAACGATTAATCGTCCCCTTTCAATCAGTTCAGCTCAATCACTTCAGCGCAAACTTTCCCTTTTTGTATTCTGTGCCAGAATCATACAGGTTTGGAATGACTAGAGGTGAGTAAATGATGACAGAATTTTTTAATTTTCCATGAACTAATCCTTTCATTTATCCTCTAATTAATCACCTTTCGTCCCTCAAGGGTGAGAGGAGAGCAATGCAAGGGTGCAGTTCCAGACCAGATATAATAGATGGCTTTGATCACCAAACGCAGGCCTGTTTGCCCCCAGGATTCCTCAAGTGTGTGGATGTGTATGTGTGCATGTGTGTGTGTGTGTCCAGTGAAGCCTGCAGGGTCAGTTCCTTGCAGTGAGTGAGTAAAGAATCTCAGGGCCTTTCATGTGTTACCGTAATGATGGGGACATCATCTGTCCGGACTGGTTAATGGGATGGGGAATTACCCATGCCTTTGGAGATTTATAACCTCTTTAAGGAGATGGCAAGACTTTAGAACTGCCCCTAGGAAACATCAGCCATCACCAATGAGATCTCTTTTTGTGATTACTCTTTATACTGTCTAAAATGTCACATCATGTAAATACACAATTTGATATGCTTATACTGTGTAAACAGTCAGAGAAAGTCTAAGATCATATTGGAAATTTGGGTCTCAACATCTAAAACCTGGAAAAAAGGAAACGTTTCTGAATTCTGAAAAACAATTCAAATATGAAACATGGCATAAAATGAGTCTATAATCAGATTTGTGTCACTGATCATCTGATGTCTTTGTACAGATGTTCTTGATTCCACTGAAGCACAAGATGCTAGAACATGGGCAAAAGAGGAATAGATACAATTCTAAGACATTATGAAATTATCATTCTGACTATAAAATGGGTAAAGTAAATATTTGTATTAAAATGAAAAGAAGCATGCTCTCAGACATTTGGTTTCTTTTTTACATTTTCATTTGTTTCTTGTAGACAGCAATGATATGGAGAGCAAATAGAGCCTCATGCTTCTCAGATATTTCCCCGAGCAAAATTCCCTAGTAATTTCATGTTTCTCCTCTAAAGTTTCAGAACAGATCTCAACTTTGCTGAGATCTGATTGAGATAACGGCAGTCAAAGTCTGCAATTAATATGGGCTTCTCATACAATTCTTCCAAGAACAAATTAATACCAATTAAAGGGATATTTCACCCAAAAATAAAAATTTGGTCATCATTTTCTCACCTTCATGTCATTCCAAACCTGTGCAACTTTCTTTCTTCTGCAGAACACAAAAGAAGATAAGATTTAAAGAATGTTGGCAAGCAAAGAGTTTTGATAACCATTGACTTCCATTGTATGAACAAAAACACAATTGATTTCTCAAAAATATCTTCTTTTATGTTCCACAGAGGAAAGTAAATTCCAACCATTTCCATTTTTGGGTGAATTATCCCCAGTGGTGGACAGTAACGGAGTAGTTTTACTTCGTTACTGTACTTAAGTAAATTTTTCAAGTATCCGTACTTTACTGGAGTAGTTTTATTTTGAGTAACTTGTACTTTTACTTCACTACATTCCAAAGCATAAGATCGTATTTTTACTTCACTACATTTCATAAAACATATCGTTACTCCTTATAATATATCACGTGCTCCGAGACGCAGAAGCAGTGTCTGATTCATGAACGAACTGATTCTTTTCAATGAACCCATTAAATCGGTTTGCAAATCGCACCAAACGATTCATTCACGAATTGGAATGATCCGATTAGTGCGAGTCTCCAGTGAACTGAATTCACAAGTAAGAACCGGGAGATCTTGTGAGCTCGCGCGCGCGTCTGATGCTGTTAAAAGTAAGTTACTAATGTCGAATTTTAGGATTAATTATTGTAACTGAAAATGTAAAGGGTGATCTGTTTAAGCCCACTGAAATGCTTGAATGCAGACACATTAACATCAGAGTCTCTATGTTTAAGGTCAAAAAAATAAAAATAACACAGATTAAATAGAAAAACTAATGCACGTTCATCTTCCCCACTGCAATGCTATGCATTTAGCCCTATGTGACGTCTGTTTATATATTGTTTGTCAGCACACATAGCCTAAGTTGCTATGTATCTGGATCAACTAGCCGAGTAGACAAACATAAATGTTTATTCATAACCATGCTGAAAATAAGTCAATAATGTTAGCTGATGCTAACGAGCTTGCTGGTGCTAAATTGAGGTAATTAAAAAAAAAATAAAGTCCAAATATT